TCCCTTAAAGTCCCGGCGTCAACCATTACTTGTGTTCTTCTCTCCTTAAGATCCTCCTTGATCTCTTCTCCGCATTGCTTCGCAATCTTATACTAAGTTGGTGATTGCCTGCGACTCGTGCCCGTAGGAGGCAATAGTCTAATCCCGTACAGAACTTCGGCACAACACTGATGTCGGTCTTACCTTCTGTTGACGATAATGTGGTCAATCTCGTTATGGTATTCTCCAGGCAATTCTCGGGTCCAGCATAGGGGAAGAAGGCTTTTGGAATTGTGAGTACCCATAGAATACCCAAAGGAAGTCCTCGTCGTCATAATAGCTTGGACAATCTCTTCCGTTCGTTCCACTCTAGTCCGTAGGTCTCGACACGAGTATCGATGTAAAGCTCTGCAGGCAATCTTCTGCTACTCAGACATTCGCAGTTAAGTCCCGCCGGTGAAAAAGTTGTGTCCCGCCGGAATGACTGCCTGACACAAGTAAAATGGTTCGCGAGAAAACCGGGACTCCCGGTTTTCGTTCGGGATAATGCGGCGCGACACGCGGTTTTGTCCCGACATGTTTTCTACTGAGAAAACCGGGAGCTCCTGCGGGAGTCCTGGTTTTCTCGCGATTCGGTCACCAGCGGGACTCCCGCTCTAGACTGCAGTCTCCTGCGGGAGACGCGATATAGCAGCGAACCGATCAGCCTCCGGCTGGGCTTTTTCTTAGATTGGTTCTCCTTCCAAAATTCGTACTACGCACATCTTACAAAGGTGCTGTGCTCGACACAGAGTTCAGAAACACTCTTTATTAGCATTCGTGACAGAAAAAGAACATTGAAATCACTATGACTAAGTAAACAGAAAAAAACAGGAATGTCGAGATCAATGTGTAAGATTGAATCCATAATCTAAATCGACTTCATATTTTCGATCTCTTCGTCTTGCTCATGCTCCGACTCATTAGCCTGCTCGTGCGCCAAAGAATCTTGCGTGGTAGTAGGGCAAAAACGCTTTTTCTGGAAAAAATAACAATCTAACACTAATTTGAAAAATCATATATGAATATTACCGAAGGTGGCGACAGCATCTCCTTATCAGCATCAAAATGGTAGGCGCGCACGTCACCGCTGAACTTCAAATTCAATAGATTCATGAAGACTATCTTTGAAAGAAACCCACAAAGCTCTTCCTATAGCCACTCGTGCTAATCCATTAAACTTCATCCTCGCCTCCGACAACTTGTCAAACGTCTTCGTCCTAGCCTCATCGTCGTTCCGTAGGCCCAGCCAAAATCTAAATTAATGAGATATCAAAGGGTAGAAACACTTCTATCTAGAGCTTGAATGTCCTCTTTTCTTTGAACCTCGGCATTACAATGATGTAGTCTATTTGTTAGTTGTGCCAGCACGAGGTTTCGGCGAAGCTTTATTAGTAGAGCGGCCTAACGTTTCGAGCAATCCTCGTCTTCAGAGGCCGTGGCTCTACCGCTATCGCACCGATGGTGGTGTGCGACCGCCTTCTCCGAATTTGCACTACTAATTCGGAAAAGGCGGTCGCACACCACCATCGGTGCGATAGCGGTAGAGCCACGGCCTCTGGAGACGAGGATTGCTCGAAACGTTAGGCCGCTCTACTAATAAAGCTTCGCCGAAACCTCGTGCTGGCACAACTAACAAATAGAACTTCTATCTATACCTATTTCTTTGCCGCGCGCATCGTGCCGCGTGCCGCGCATTCATAAAACATATTGGTATTGGAAGGGGTGAGTCATGCAAGGCGACTAATGGACAAGAAGACGGTAGAACATGTCACAACATGTTGTCGTGGCTAAAATGTTCTGTCAACATGTTGTGGCATGTTGCAAACAGTGTTCTTCACATCTAGTCTCTCAATCAAAAACAGGCCAAGAATGTACAGTAGATAAAAATGTACGGGATACGCAGCGTAAAGAAAAAAGGCGCTTCCCATGCGATGATGAAAAATGTTATATTCTTCGAAAGATAGCTAGCAATAGCCAAGACACTCGTCAGACTTCGTTTTGCTCAAAAGGGCCCAAAAGAGCTTAAATGTGCTTGATCTCTCTTCACATTCCTCGTCTCTGATCTCATGCGTTCGGCGCTAGCCTAAAAGCGTCAATACGCTCCCCTGACATCGTGCCGCGGTAGCACTTGCGTGTCAAGAGAGCGTGCTGGCGCTTTCGGGCTAGCGCGGGACGTGTGAGAGAAATGAAAATTGTGGAGAATAAAAAAAATTTTGCGCTTCTGGGCGCTATTGAGTGAAGTCTGACTGGTGTTTAAGCATGTTAATGTTGCTGTCTAATGATATGACACTAGCAAAGTAACTCCAGTTTATACCCGTTGCGAAATTTAGGAGTATCATATTTACTACGCATGTTCTAGCTTACTTCAGCTATGTGCAGTTTACTACAAGTTGAAAAACATCAATAAGTGCAGTACAGAGCGCGTAATTTCTTACGTGAAGCAAGACTCATTATCGCGTTGATCGCAGCTAGAAGCTCTTTTTCAACTTGGAATTATGCAAAAGCGCCGTACATGATCTACATATAATTAATTCAGAATACCTAATTTCACGACCTTCAACCCAACGTCCGTTGGCTCAATCCATAGCATACTCGGCATCACGACGGCTGAAAATAACGTTAGAGGTATCTAATCAGAAGTTGCGAACACAACCACCTCCGACGACGGCAAGGCGTAAATGGAAAAATTGCTGCGGAAGCGGTGCTGCTGCGGTGCAATATGTCACAACATGGTTCTGTCAACATGTTGTGGCATGTTGCAAACATATTTTTGCCGCGTTGCCAACATGTTACCACACATGGCTGGTATGAGAGCACACCAAAGGGGTAGCAGCATTTGTGGAGGGCACATTATACCTGGATCTGGATCATACAAGTCAGTCAAAGAGTAAAAAGATGTGAAATCGAGAAAATCCGTTGTGTGAGAGGAAAAACAGCCTGTGTGGAAACAGGAATGAATCGATACTGACGCGCAATAGCGTCAAAATCGATGATCGCGACTCCCGGTAATCTCCCGCCACTTTTTAACTGTCGGGATTGTCCCGAAAGTCGGGACAAAACCGGGAGTCGCGCAAGACTCCCGGTTTTCTCGCGAATTCTCATTTTGTGGGCGGATCTCCGGCGGGACTTAACTGCGAATGTCTGAGATACGACCTTCGCGTTAGTCACCAACGATGACCTTGCAGCTTGCTTCTGCAGAGTCTCTCCAAATCCATAGAGAAAGCCTCAACCGCGTCTTCGTCGAAACTTGATGTTTGTTTGACGTACGCTATAATAACTGCCAAGGCTGGGATCGATCCACATTCTGATGTTTGTAAACGTGCGACTTGAGTTGTGGGTTGTTTGAATGAATCGATACTCACGGCCAAACTCGTATTGACAAGGACTCCTACACAGCCAACTCCTCTGCTGTCGCATGTTCCCAAAACAGTCTCCCTCCAGCACCAAACGTGGCTTAGCGGATGGTATCTCCTTGTCTCGGCAGTCCGATGACGTCGTACTTGTTTTTTCTTGCTTGCACCTCTTCTTGCATGAGGTCTTCAATAGATGCGTCCGATGCTAGCGTTTTTGCGTTGTAAATACAGATCATTATTGCCTGCTTCGTTTTCAGCAGCCCAAATCGCCCTTCAAACCTTGTCTCCACTGGCGCTGCCTTAAAGTGGCTCTTCCAAGATTAAGTGAGCTTTTAATGTATCTCTGCGTTTAACGATTTTATTACTTGCAGATACAGCTAGCTCGGCTCAAAGCTCCCGGCGGGAGATGATTTGTTAAAGGCGACTCCGGACCCGCCTCTCTGACATCTACCGGGAATATAGGTCTAGGTATTAATGAAGGCGAGTAGTCCTCCACCCTGCTCCGCTTGCTTATCAGAGCAGGTCTCTTTTGGTCGGCGATTAACTCCTATTCGCCACCTGGGAACGCCCCAAAGCCTCGCGACTATTCAGCTGGAGTCGTTCTATGAGAGAGATCCGTGCACTAGCTCTATTAGCCAGTAAAGACAAAGCTTCGTAAGCAGAGACCATAATTTACTCCTCTCGAATGTTGGTGGTATAGATTTATGTGATTTTTTTCAAATTTCTTTATCATGATAAAAACCGCAGCTTTAAAAATGTCCAAAAATCTGTTTGCTTGGCTTGCAACTTAACTGAGGCCTGGATAAACGTAAATTTTTGGGTTTTTTGAAAAATAAGGCTGCCGTATTACATAAAGTGCTTTTTAAGCTTGCATGGTCGCTTTAACTGTCCGAGTCTTGTGACCATGGTGTCCAAGTTATAGTGATTTGTTGAATACGTAACAAAATGACATAATGAGCTATTCGTTTCTAGCTTTTTCCGTGTTAAACTAACACATCGTTTACTGATTTCGTGCCTTACTAATTTTCTTTTCAGTTGCCTTAAGTTCCCTTGGAATGGAAATAAGTTTTCAGCTCGTATTTTCATAATTTTGTAGTGTCTAGGGGTTTTGTATTAGAACTACAGAACCTATTTTTAAAGATGTATTGAAGAAACTTCATTTAGAAAAAACACACAAAAAAAATTTAACCAAGCACCCAAGAAAATCTTAGAATGACTTCTGGATTTTCAGAACTGTTTACTTCCGCAAATCATCACACCCAATTCCTCCCTCCTTCCCTCACTGTTTGAGTGTATACGATAGCGAGGAGGCAGAGACTATAGGCAACTGCTCGTGAGCGTCCTTGTCCAACTCCATTACAGTATATTTTTGGACAAATGAAATTCCTGATTAGCCAAAGTTACCTTCATTTACGGCAAAGGCCTAAAATCCTCGATGAGAATTCCATTTCCATTTACATAACCTTGTTAGAGTATATTGTAGCCGATATCAACGAAGTGTGGCTAGATTTGTTCGCACCCCAGTAGCTGTCCATTTTTGTCACTTTTTCAGGATTCCATGTTATGAGATTTGCATGACTAATTTTTATGCCTTCGATTGTTTCAGATAAAATCTCTAGCTTCCAGATGGCATCCTGAATCTTTCTGCAATTGTGAAAGATCATTTGCAGTTGAGCAAAAAGTTTGCAGCAAAGAGCTCAACAACCTACGAAATAAGCTTTGCAAACTTTACTCAGCACTATAAATACATATTGTTGCCGAGCTCTTCAACCTTATCTTCATGTCTCAGGAACGGCGGGCGGTGAGTATTCTATCAATATTTTTTGTTGCTGATACATTCTGAATTGACAATGCAAGCTTGTCCATTGTCATGATTATGTAATGTAAAGTCCAAACACAACTTTTAGATGAGCCATTGTTCAGTTGGGGAACGCCTTTGTTGCCGGCAACGGTTGCCAGGTTTCCGGCGTTGCCGGCGTCAGAAACAGCTTAAAGAGCGCGCGAAACGTGGAGGCTATCATGAAGTCTGCAACGACCGGCACGCCGGCAACTTCGGCAACCGTTGCCGGCGACTTATGGCCATTCCCTTATAATTTAATCAAGCACTTTCTAACAAGGGAATGGTCAGAAATCGAAGAAGCCAATTCAAGCAAGCTGCTACGGTTAGATGCAGCATATAACGCTGACTCTAAGTCTGTCTTCCGTATCTGCAGAGTGCTTTTGTAGGCGAAGCTATAAGCCGTTAAAAGTCATCATTTTGCTAAGAAATTGTGCGTGTAAATTTCAAACTTGAACGTACAAAGCTATTCTCGGCTCAGTGTTGGAAAACATGTAACTAGGTCAGTTCATATGACCCGTACCTAGAGGTGAGCTGAAAGAGCAATGATCTGCCTGAATTCGCAGTTTTTGTGGACGATTTTTTCGCAGTAAAACTGCTCATAAATTCGCCCACAAAGGCGCTCTGCAGATACGGAAGATAGATTTGAAATCAACATTCTATGCTGCACCGATTGGTATGCAGCTTGTATGGATTGGCCACTTCGACTTCTGACCATGCCCTTGTAAAATGTACAGGATATATAAACTGTAAACATCCGGCGAGACAACGAAAACTACACATTGTTCACCCACCCCGACGCCCCCTTCAGAGTCGCGGAGGGGGAGTTGTTGACAAAGTGAGCGCGCGAGACATTACACCCTCTCGCAGAGGTTACGGACGATGAGAATTTTAGACAAGCGGTGTACTCCCATCCGCAGACAGGCTCGAGAGGAGAGGGTTGTCTCGACATGTGACTATTGATCGCACCGTACACCGCATGCGATGACGTCACGTGTTTTGACTGCCTGCGAGGACGAATTGTGAAGAAATACCGTATGCTCGGTTTGATCACAGCTTTGACAGCTGGAGCAATCTCTACTGTTTACATACACGTTTCCTCTTCTTTTCATGTCCTTAGCTACGTTTTACCTTGATTAGAAAGATTCCCTTACCCTACCCCTGGCCCCTGGCCATTTGGCATAACTTTGATATGAAATCTGAGCACTGCAACTCTCCTTAAATGTCATCACTCAACATTTGGTGAAATGTTGACAAAATTCCCAACCCGAAGAGCAATTTAACAGCAAAAAACTGCATTCTACGCAGGCTCTTTTGTGGATGAGCACTTTTTGGAGTAATAGATGTTGCTTTTCCCCACAATTTCCACCGAAAACGGTAAAAACCTCGATTTCGACAGAATTTCAGCCACAGAAAATGCCTTTGCCACCGGAAAAAAGACCCAGCATAGAAGCTGTGGTCTCGCTGGTTGAGCTTCGGAAGGCTCTCTCTGTGGCTTGCCAGTTTTTGGAACGAAAAGTTTTGTTTCTCCCCACAATTTCCACCAAAAACGGTAAAAACCTCGATTTCGACAGAATTTCAGCCACAGAAAATGCCTTTGCCCCCGGAAAAAAGACCCAGCATAGAAGCTGTGGTCTCGCTGGTTGAGCTTCGGAAGGCTCTCTCTGTGGCTTGCCAGTTTTTGGAACGAAAAGTTTTGTTTCTCCCCACAATTTCCACCAAAAACGGTAAAAACCTCGATTTCGACAGAATTTCAGCCACAGAAAATGCCTTTGCCCCCGGAAAAAAGACCCAGCATAGAAGCTGTGGTCTCGCTGGCTGAGCTTTGGAAGGCTCTCTCTGTGGCTTGCCAGTTTTTGAAGCGAAAAGTTTTGTTTTTCCCCACAATTCCACCGAAAACGGTAAAAACCTCGATTTCGACAGAATCAGACACCAAAATGCCTTTGCTCCCGGAGAACCCAGCATGCATCTGCATTGATCAGCCCTTAAGGAAAAAGATTATTTTGATTTCAACTAAGCAACGAAAGAAGCAAGCTGTATTGAATTAACTGAGTTCTGTTGGTGGCATTTGGAAGGGAAGATCAGATATTTTTGTGTCTACCTGCGAAGTTTGATTTTTCATTTATTTAGCTTGTCTAGAAAGGAGATGTGAACACATTTGTACTTAGATGCAGTCCCATCTAAGCAAATACTAGTGTATCTGCCCCGACCCACTTACAGCGGCCCGTAGGGCCGCTAGTACATATAGCTACCCTCAAACTAAGACACCGACAACAACGTGCATTTTCAGTTTTCTGCCTAGGGGACAATGCCTTCCACGGAGAAGTCAGAAATTTTAAGCTAAAATCATGCAGATGGTCAACTACAGTATACCTAGAGTAATTCCGTGAAGGGGCGAGAAACGCAAAAGCATTTTCCAGGGCCAGAGCGTAAAAAAACTTCTAAGGAACACTCCAAGACAGCAGTCGCTCTAACAAAATCTAAACCATGACTCACCATGTGAGTCACATTGTCTCAAGTGGCATTCATGACCCACTATTTGGGTCACGTTGTCTGTGTTAAGCGCACTTGCTGCAGAAACAGTTACTACACGACTAATCTCTAAGGTAACCTTTTGAAAGCGGGCAGAATTCTGTTATCATATACTTTTTGTGTCAGACAGATTTCTCATGACAAACAATTTACTTGGCTTTAATTTGCCAGCAGTAAATTATCGCCAGCAGTCCCTTCCTAAGGTTGAAATCAAGTTAATTTTGCACTTTACATAGTCGAACTTCTTCTCTGAAAACTTCAAAAACGAAGTCCTCGTTGCTTCGCGGAAAAATGTGAGAACAGAAAAAAAACATTCAAGATGTAAACAGGGGATAACGTTTGGATTCTCCGCATTGGTGGCAAGATGTGTCCGCTGTCCACCAAGGTGCTAGCAGAATGCCGCCGCCATTCAAAGCTTTTTGAAGGCTACAATTAATGGGAGATAAGGGAATCTAAGGAGTTTTAGGAACCAGTCTGTAGGGTTTAAGATGTGCGTGGTATTAGTGTAAAACACAAACGCTATATGATAAAAAGTAAGTTTTTTTGAGCCATCGCAGCAGGTCTCGCGCCTGGGCCGGTAGTAATCTACCTTACCTGGTGGCATCAAAGATGCCGGCAAGTTGGCACACATCGCGGAAAGATGCCAACTCCGCCGGCAGCTCACGGAGTGATTGTAGGTTTTAATAATCTTATGTAACCGTAGCACGCAATCATTTCGCACATTAAATTTTGATGACGCAGGCAGCCGCAAAATTGCTACCTCGCGCGCGGTCTAACCTATATGCGTTAACTTGAGGTGCCACCACGTTAACCATTCGACCATTCGATCAGCCATTGTCGTCTGCACCAGCAATAGGAGGAACGCGCTGGTAAATGGCTGCCTGTAAGAGGGATCGATACATTGCGTGAGAGACACTGACCTGAAAGAACAGCTGATTGATATGAGCGAGAGAGGGGCGAAATCGGTGCAAACGAGATTTATAAGGGATTGCCAAAAAAGATGGTGTTCTTTATAATTCTAAGGCATTGCTGAATTTTTTCTCTGTAAGAAAATCGTCGTTTTAAAGAAGAAAAACTCATATAATGAGAAAAATGACAGTTTTTTGATGAAAAGTAGAATTTTTGATTTTTTCGCCTGACGTAAATTGTGTGATAACGCCGCAATTCGCAAACTCGCAGACGCCGTCGGCATAGGTGCCACCACCTCGACGTGGTAGGGGCACGTCGAGATGCCGGCAGCTCCCTCTCTCAAAAGAGCACGCTATTTTCCGTGCTCTCTGACCTGCCGGCAGCTGCCATCTCGCGGATTTCGACGAGCTGCCGGCAGGTTGCCGGCAACTTACATCGCGAAGTTGCCGGCAGCTCCTTCTGCGCTTCCGGATATTTTCCTACAGGAAAATTTTCAGAACCGCAGATTTCTATGGAGTTTTCTACAGAGTCTAGGCGGCATCTTTATCGAGAAGCTTTCTGGAAATAGACCTGGGACCGGCTAAATTTGGGGTTTCACTTTCTGGCTGCCTCACGGAAAAGTTGCCAACGACCTGCCGACGAGACCTGCCGCCAGGTCGGGGGATTACTACCGGCCCTGGTGTCTTCAGGGCCGTAATAATCCCCTACTTGGCGGCATCAAAGATGCCACCAAGTTGGCACACATCACGGAAAGTTGCCATCTCCGGCGGCAACTCGCGAATTGATCATAGGTTCTTTGAGCAAGAGGTCAGGCACAAGTCCTTCAAAAACGACCCCCCCCCCCCTGTGAAAGCCCCTAAACGACCCTCCGCTTCACCTCCAAGTCCTTAAGGTGTTATATTTTGAAGAAGACCAGCCTTTATTACAGATTTCTAATTTTTGAAAGTCTATAAACCCGACTTTCTGACCTCCCCCGACTTTGCACAACCACTCGCAATGCACAACCACTCGCAACCTGACAGCAAGTTTTAGATCTGGATAGTCCTCTTTTCAGAGCTATAATTTTCACAGGGGTGGAGTGTTTGGCTTCAAATTTTCAATATTGCAAGAAGAGGCTTTGCGCTCGATACTCATATCAAAAAATGGGCGATTTTTGAATGCTGAAGGCAAGCTGGTTAGGCGCAACCCCTCAAAAGCTCAGGCGGCCTGACCTTTTGAAGGTTGCGCCTGACCCCATTAACTTTATTTCCGAAAAAGCTTTTCTATCCAAGTTTTATGTGATTCGCTAGCTCAATCCTCGAAGATTCCACAGTAAGTGTTTGAGCTTGATTCGACTTGTTTCGGCCTTGTGCTAATCCGAGAATTTGAAGCGCTCAACGTGAAAAACGCGCCGGTTGGATTGGCAGCACTTCTTACTCCATTGTTTGAAAGCGATATGAAGTCCGATTTGTAGCATAGACTTGTAGAGAACATTCCTTTGTTATGAGTATACAAAAGCTGACTTTTTCACTTCTGAAACCAAGTTGATCACATTTGAAAATCGCTTTTTAGGCGTTGAGAAACACTAGAAACTGCAATAGGTATTGGTTTGTAGAGCGTATAGAGGTAATTTGACATGCTGACTATGGAAATGATACCCATTTCACACAGCAAGCTTCCTTGTTTACCTCATATGTCAAGGTAAAAGAGAAGAAGATTTGAATTTTGGCTGAAACTTCCATTACAAACCCCCTCCCCCCCTCAGTCTTACGTCTTACCAGGGTTGAGCATGGGGTCAGGCGCGCCCGACCTGGGGGATCGTATTGAGGGTAAGACTGAGGGGGGGGGGGTCGTAATTAAGAATCGAAGTTATTGAGCTGGGGAGATACTGTGAAGGTGAAGAAGAAATGCGCTAGTCCGGTGGATATCGCGACCACATGAAGGAATGACGGTCATGAACAGCATACTGATTGTTTCCAGAATGGAAGTTTCAGCCAAAATTCAAATCTTCTTCTCTTTCACCTTGACATATGAGGTAAACAAGGAAGCTTGCTGTGTGAAATGGGTATCATTTCCATAATCAGCATGTCAAATTACCTCTATGCGCTCTACAAACCATTACCTACTGCAGTTTTTAGTGTTTCTCAACTCCTAAAAAGCGTGATTTTCAAACGTGATCAACTTGGTTTCAGAAGTGAGAAAAGTCAGCTTTTAAATACTCATAACAAAGTAAAGTTCTCTGCAAGTCTATGCTACAAATCGGACTTTATATCGCTTTCAAACAGTGAAGTACGAAGTGCTGCCGAATTTCCAACCGGCGCGTTTTTCACATTGAGTGTTTTAACTACTCGGATTGGCACAAGGCCGAAACAAGTCGAATCAAGCTCAAACACTTACTGTGGAATCTTCGAGGATTGAGCTAGCGAATCACATAAAAATTGGATAGAGAAGCTTTTTCGGAAATAAAGTTAATAGGGTCAGGCGCAACCCCTCAAAAGGTCAGGCCGCCTGAGCTTTTGAGGGGTTGCGCCTGACCCTCTTAACCTGCCTTCAACATTCAAAAAATCGCCCCTTTTTTGATATGAGTATTGAGCGCAAAGCTTCTTCTTGCTATATTGAAAATTTGAAGCCAAACCTTCAACCCTGTGAAAATTATAGATCTGAAAAGAAGACTATACAGATCTAAAACTTGCGTTGCGTGTGGTTGCGCAATCGCAGAAAGTCGTATTTCAAAAAATAGATCGCAGAAAGTCGTATTTCAAAAATTAGAAATCTGTAATAAAGGCTGGTCTTCTTCTTCAAAATATAACACCTTAAGGACTTGGAGATGAAGCGGAGGGTCGTTTAGGGGCTTTCACAGAGGGGGAGGGGGGGGGGTCGTCTTTGAAGGACTTGTGCCTGACCTCTTGCTCAACCCTGGTTGTAACATGAATGAAATAAACGTCAAATGCTTGCATAACATAAGTACACCTCTAGACAGCTCTAATGAAACAAATGTGAAGTAAGAATTGAGAATTAGAGTAATTGTCAATGTACAAAATTTCACGATAATTTTTGCATTTGTTTTTTACACTATCCGGTTTCGGGGCTAAGAACTATACCGGTAATGCAGCTTCCTTGGTGCCCCTCATCACTTCAAAAATGGAATAAGAGGTAGTCTACAGAATCTTGGCGGAATGAAAGGCATAAAGTTCAAAAACAAGTCAAGACACATTGAAAGTAAAATCAAAATAACCACGAATGGCATGACGACAATAATTTTCGATTCTCATATGACAGTCATATCATATGATCACATTCTGTTAACATATTCTCAACAAACAGCTTATCAATAGCGCATGCAATAATATGTGATTCCAGCTCGGACATGATGCGCACTGACACTTACTGAGTTTGTGTTGACGTATCAGCAGTGCATAGAGATTGCACAGCACTTGCTTGAAGCTTGCACAGATCTGCGGACGTATTCCACATGTTTTACCACGCCCGCTAACCTCGAATCAAGGCTCAGACTCAAAAATGTTCAGAAGATTCACGCCCGCGGCATAAGCTTGGTGCAAACGAAGATGTCGTTGTAAGCACCGTCCACTTAGATTCTCGACTTCCATGTTTTGGTCATTTCGGAGCCCTCTCATGTTACTGATTCCGAACATGAAGTCGGGAACACGCGAAAACCCGACGATCAACTCCGTTCCGAAAAACCTATAACCCGTTTCTCCGAAACGGAGATTGGATGGGGCAACGGATGGGCGGGTATTGCTGGAAAGGAAAATGCTGCCTTGGGATCCTCGTGCCTCGTATATATCCCGAACCGATTCTCGCTCCCAAAGCGACGTTGCTACTATCGTAAGGTACCAAAAAGCTCAAAACCCCTAACTAAGGATAAGTGCCTTAAAGGCGACCGTATTACCCACTATTAGTACTGCTGCGTTATTGACTGACGTCACTAACTTCTACTTTATAATGACGAATCAAAAAATGTTCACGTTTGTGTGTTTTTTAATACAGAGTGTCCCAAAAGTATGTGTACACTGTTTGACCGTTAATATCTCTTTTCCCAAAAATTCTTTCGCTTACCTTTAGGCAACATTTTGTAGAGCTGACTTCAACTTAGACCTGCAATATGGAGCGGCCGATTATTCTTCGTTACTGTAGGATTACTAGAAACTTCAAAAAAATTGTGAGCGATTAAGGGTCCTATTCCACCTCAGAAAGCAAATAAGCAGTCTGAAAAATTCTATGATAGCCTAATTCCAAGGAGCTAGAACTAAATATGAAGTTTGCACTTCAACGTAATGGTTCCTTCATGAGCATGCCGGGTGAACCGCAATAGCATTTTACAGTGCTTGTTAAAATCGTGATTACTTATTTGAAAAGCTTTGCAAACTCGTAAAAAGTTGAGTAATAAAATCAGAGCGCGCGAAAACCCTAATACACCACTTTTGAAAATTTCTGGAAACTTTCTTTCAAACACGGTTAATTCATAATGATGCTATGAGCTGAAAGATCGTACTGTAATCCTACAATGCTGAAGAGCGGTCAGTGATTCGCTCCATACTGCAAATCTAAGTTGAAGCCAGCTCTACAAAATGATACCTAAAGGTAGGCAAAAGGCTTCTTGTAAAAAGAGATGTTAACGATTAAACAGTGTATACATACTTTTGGGACACCCTGTATATCTGTCACGAGATTCGTGAAGCGAGGTACAGAAAGGATCCTGGGCTAGATTTTGTACAACGCAAACCACTGACAACCACTGACTTGCTGAGTTGAATAAAACCAACAAAGAGGTGCAGTTCTAAGAAATCGCACATAAAAAGCCGCAATGCTATTAGCTCACAAAACTAAGCCCGTTTTTTGCCTTTTTGTTGAGTCATGTATTTGTGACCTAGAATATGCACGAGTAATGGACCTCATTCTGAAACTAATACAAAAGCCTGGGAAAAAGGTGCCGGAAATAGTTACGACTTGAACCAAAATAAAGGGCATGACGAAGTTGCGGAAGTATTAGTTGAGCGGGCGCAAACGCGGCGCGCGCGTATCCTCGCCGCTGTAAACCTTGCGCCTCTTACGCTCTGCGGCTAAAAAAGCAGCGTTTACGCCCAAAGCTATTGCGCCTTCATTATGCAACAGCCTATACACAAGCTTGCCCTGAGTGAATACAGGTTGTGTAATGTCTGAGTGTATGCGTTTGCCTTGAATACCAAAGTGCGCGAGCAGTTTGACCATGTTAGCGCTACAAGCTGTACTACTAGCCTGACAATGGAGCTCCTTTTTCAAACTTCAATTTAACAAGTTTTAGAGTTCAAAACAAAGTGTGAGAATTTAGTAGACGTTTGAAGACATTCTTCGCGCAAGTATAAAAGTCTGTACTCTGCGGAACGATGCAAGCTAATGTTCAAAGTGCAGCGATGGCACTGAGAACCCATGCTACGCTTTGTGCAACGTAAACCGTGTGCGCTCGGCATGCTGTTGATGCTTGTACAGACACACTAATTCTGCACTTTATGGCTATAGTGATTTGATCTTTTTGCAGGGCTACATACGGAACCCATATCAACTCAGGCAAAAGTACTGTAAAGTACTGTGGGAGCGGCGCGTCAGTCAGAGGCTCCCGACCAAGTGCCCTCATTCACCGGGCAAGCGCCCCGCAATCATAAAATGCTGTCGGTGGCTACATTCATCGGCTGAGCGCCCATCAGGTCGGCCGGGCGGAATACAGTCGAAAGCCTGGCAACCAGCCCGCAATCGACCCGCGGGAAATCAATGGTGTTCGATCCTGCCGTCAAGCCTAAATTTCACACGTCGACACGTGCCAAAATTTGGCTTATCAGTGTTATGCTAGCTTCTTTCATTCATTCACGCTTGCTCATTGTCTTACTAAGCTTGCTTTGAACACTCACGCTTAACTCATTCAACTGTCTTTTTACGCTTGCTTCACTTCACTATTTCAGTTTAGTATCGACGACCTGCAGCGGCATGAGAAGCGCCAGGAGGATCTGCATCAGCTACATTCAATAGTGTTGCAGATACGAATGTGATACTTTTCAATTTTTGATTGAGTAACAAATGTCCGCAAAAAGCGCGCCCCGTGAATTAATGCAAGTTGCTCTTTGGCGCGGGACTTTTATCAGTAAAACGCGCCATCTCATAAGTTTTATCGCGAGATAAATGGAACAAAGAGAAAACAAATTTTTGGGAAAATTACAAAAAACAAGAACGGCGAGTTGACGTCAAATTTTTAGAGAATATAACTTTATTTGTGAAATTATGCATGAAGTTTTTCGTAAAATCATATCAATAAGCCAACTTCTGCAAGCTGTTCAACTTCTGACATTAAGTATTTAAAAAACTCTGCATAAACCGACAAACGCTCACCTTTAACTTTTCATCAAACCCGACCAAAATTTTTACTTTTGTTGCATGCTTACGATGACTAAGCGAGTTTAGGACCTAAACCTTTCTTTTACTAAATTGGTAAATTACTCTGTATATCCAAAACTCTCAATTATCTTGCCACAAAACCGCAGTTGAAGAGGCTGGACTTATGCACCACCAGTGCCTGCTCAAACTAATAAGGAATGCTACCTAACTTAGCTCGGCCTTTGGCAAGGGACATATATATTCTGAATCAGCTTCAAACGCTGATTCCAAATGTGCTACCTAGCTGCCGCGCACCATTCCGAAGCGAGTTATGGACTTTTTCCTGCGCAAAATTGGCATACTCATCGACTCACTGATATCACGGCATCACCATCCAAGAGCTAATACACTTGCGTTGAGTTTCTTTTTAGCAAGAAAAGGTTGAATTTGTATTATTTTCATGCCTCAGCACGGTCTTCTTGCAAATTTTTTTTACATGCAGTTTTCCATGGTCAGTAAGCGGTATGCCAATTTTGCGCAGGAAAAAGTCCATAACTCGCTTCGGAATGGTGCGCGGCAGCTAGGTAGCAAATTTGGAATCAGCGTTTGAAGCTGATTCAGAATATATATATATCATGACTTATAATAAGCGGCTTAATCTGAAGTTGTGTGGAGTTTGTCCGTTACGAAATTACAGTGAGGAATGATTTACGATACTAAACATCATGTGAGGTTAAGATAGCGAGTATGGTTGATTTTTAACTACGGCTCACCTTGCAATAAACCGAACAATGATTTGAGAGACAAGCTCTCAGAAAGTGAATGTACCACGGTTCACGATGCCAGTGCGAACCTCTGCGAAGCAGAGGTGAAGCACTGGTATATATATATGCCCCTTGCCAAAAGGCCGAGCTAAGTTATTAGGTAGCTTCCCTTGTAAGTCCCTTCGAGTCATTATCCTAATGAACAATAGGTAGTCTTTTGATTATGATTATTGATTTGATTATGACATCATGGAGAAAGTTTTATTTGCAAAAGTGAAAGGAATGGTGTGAGTGGGCAGCAAAGTGGAATAAAGCATGCAAGGGTTCAAAGCACATATTTTCGATTTATCCTCCCATTTATGAGTAATGCTTGAAGGCCTTACAACGCGGATGTGATACATACCCAGTAGTTGTAGCATGACGCTCCACTTGAGCTGGGATATCGTACTATAATGTAATGATCTTCACGAAAAAATTAAGCTATAGACTTTGGGTGAATACACTTTCTTGCCCACAAGCTACTACCTACCTCTGAATCAAGTGGAATAGAGGTTTATTCTCGCTATGATTGGCTTATGGTATACATCGTGATAGGTTGAAGATTGCAAGCCTCAAAACAGGAGAGGAGAAGGCAGAAATATTTAATACGATGGATTCATGTGAGGATTGCGTAAGGCATCGTTCATACCGCTCCGCTCGCTGCCACCCGAAACCGTCTAATACACCCGAATCCGCCTGAATGTCCGAATCCGTCCAAACCGCCTTAGACGCCGGAACTGCCAGAGCACAGGAGGGCAAATTGGCATATAGTAGCAAGCGTGAAATACTGCGCGTGATGCATATATCACATCTTAGTCGCATCTATCTTATGGCCACGAACTCGACGTAACATGCCAAGTTTCATTCGCAACTACTAGGAAATTGTAAGGCAATCGTGCGTCTGTTCTGGTATTTCGTCTCATGTTGGCTGACTTTAAGTGAGTTTTATGGCAGTTTGCATGCATATCTCCTGCTTCGGCAGTTCCGGCAACTCTCAAGCGTCGGACGGATTCGGAAGTATTCAGGCAAATTCATGCGTATTTGGACGGATTCGGCGTATTCAGACGAACTCGGGCGGATTCTGGCGCATTCGGAGGATATCGGGTGGGTTTAGACGGGTAACGGTCTGAAAGATGCCTAAAGCCTAAGGCATACTTCACGCGATTCCAGTCGCTGCGCGATCTGGCACTGCAGCGACTCTTAGTAACTGGTCGTTAGCTCGCTTGCATGGGCAGACTCAAAGCTTTGCTATAACTTACGGTAGCTACGCGCCTATGCACTTAGAACCCACACACGATAGATCTGTATATATCTGGCAAATTGCCAAGTCGCGTGGATGTAGCGATTTGACGAAATCGCGCAAGGTATGCCTTGTTCCTAAGCGGCAGCTCTTCAAAGCTCTGCAAGTGGCCTTGTAAGTAATGGAACTCTTTCCTAGCTCTACAACTCATCAGAATTTGTTTAAAAAAGATATTCTCCTGTACGAATTAACGTTGAAAATAATAAATGGTGATATAATGTAATTACCTTTGAATAAAAGTTTTTATGTTCATACATGATTTTAGAGAAAGAAAATTTGAGTACGACCGAAGAGGAGTGCTGATGGTTCAGAGGTCCATGTAAAAAAACCGACATGCTCTGTTGTGGTAAAGGCTGAAAAAGGAAGGAATTTTAAGTGTTACATTCTTTTGTTCAATAGCTTTTTGAACAGCAAAAGAGCTTAGCATATTCACAAAATTCAGTCTGTTCTTTTGTGCATGTAAATAATTATGTGCGAATTGCTCGTCTTATATTAGGTTGTCCCATGATTATTTACCGTTTTTAGTGCCGCCATTTTGGATTGATCATTCGACAGGGCAAGCAAGCTCTATAAGACGGCTATCAAAAGTCTGTCCAAATCGTTCGTTTTTTACGTGAGTTCTGAGCGCAAATCTGATAGCAGTCAAGAACGAACTTTTCTGTCAAAAATCGTATCTCTGCCCCAAAAAATCTCAAGAACTTCCCATTTATCCTAGCATATGCTTGACACATCTAGCATTCAATTGCAACTGTACACTTTCCGTATTTTTTCCATGGCTAGAAATAGAGAAAAAATTGAATGGAGTAAAATGGCAAACTCCGCTCCTAGGCGTTCTGAGCACCCCCCACGCACGTGATCATATAGCTCATACATTCAATAGTACGATCATGTACTTGTGCCCTTTGGAAGTGCCCTAATTCTCGTGAAATGCTGATGTATAGGGTAAAAACGGTAAATTATTATGGGACACTTTAACAGTTATTGTCTATGATAATGTCATTTTACAATTATGACTAAGATAATTAATATATAAATGATTTTGAGCAAATTCTATAACAAAAACCGCGCGAACAACACAAAAGGCGCGCCAGCAGCTACAATACCGCGCAAGAAACCACAGAGACTGGGCCACCTCCACAATTATCACGCCAACCACAAAGACCGTGCAAGCATCCATAGACCGCGCACAACCGCAAAGACGGGGCAATCAGGCAACGTTTGTATTGCTGTTGGGAGGGCGCCCACAATAACGGGTGAGCCGTGATACCGGCCGGGCACATTCGCGTCCATCGGATGTCCCGGAAAAGTGAAAAGCGCTCGCACGATATTTGTGGCTTGCCCGGTACTTTTGCGTGAGGAGGTGTCAATGGAAGAGTTGACAAAGCGTCGCGCATACACGGCGTGCGCACCGCATGGTCCCAATCCTAAGGTTTTAAACACCAACCTCCACATACTTTAATGACCTAAAATCAATAAATAAGAAATTACTTTTAGAGTGGTATAAATTGCATAAGCACAGTCTAGAGAAGGAAGCTGCAAGTTCATACAAAAGCAACAAGTTCAAATCTCATTGATATCTTTAATAGAAGATACATAATGTCAGCAAACCTATTTACTTGCTGTCAAAGAGTTCGAAGCTGATAGTAGCGTTTAACGAAAAGCATCCTAATTTCAAAGGCGCCAAACATACTGTATCTAGTTGCAGCTTTTTTCATTGAATGAAGTGGATGTTAGTGTTTATAGCTCATAAAACTTATTGCAGCAGCCCTCTAATGATCGCCACTGTTTTATCCACTGCAAATCATACCGAGGAGCGCCAAGCTGTACGTGAAACCTGGGCATCAGAAAGAGAATCAAAATTCATTAAAGTGAGTCTAATTTTGTTCTACGTTTCAATTCCGGCGTGCTATAGATTTCAATCCTGGACTTAGACCAATTTTATAGTGTACACGATTTCCCACCGCACATCTTGTGAAAGGAAAGTTACTCCCGTTACATCTGGTCAACATATTTGCCTATGCCAGTACCCCCGAGGAACCCCGGACGGAGGTTCCGCGACATCTAGGTTGTAGTAATCCTTCGTCGTGATGCTCGCGACGTTCGAAACATCGCATGTACCCAATACGCGTCGTTTCGGGCGCTTCGTCGCATGCCTACCTCTTTACACGGGAGTGGCGTTCGCTAGACGTCGCGACTGCAGGACGTGCTCGTCCTCGCGCGCAGAGGACGAGTACGCCGTGAATGTTGTAACTTAAGAGGCAGAAAAATAAAAGTAGTGTGCCCAGAGTGGAGACGCAGGAAGGCGCAACCGGCTAGGGGTCGAGTACGCCGTGTTCGTCCTGTGCGCAAGGACACAGCACTAGTTTCAACGCACGCCAAATTTAATCGATATGAACAGCTGATAAGCGCCCAAATGTCAACGCGCTGAGCGACTTAATCTGTTTTCCTAGCATGTCTGCTGCTAAATTCTTTTTAACTGGGAAAATGTGAGTTTATATTGATTACAAACTACTTCAGAATATTACGTAATCGTATTTTATCGTGTCCAAGCATTTTTTCTTTTTATTCTTTTATCGCAATTCATCTGCGGATCAAACCACTTTTGCATGTTTTTAATCCCCTCATTTCTTCCATCTTAGCAGCTTATGACGTATATCTTCTCGAAGCTGTTCATTAGCGGTGCGCTCGGCATTCCTTTTTTTTAAGAGAAAGAACCTCTGGCGTTAGGGCTAATGAAATAGCTCATGTTTGCATTGACCAAAGTAGTGATTGTTTTACAACATTCCAATTTGTCTTGTGTACTATCAATGTTTCATGCTTTGCATTGCGATTTTTTTCCCATTACTCGAAACTTTAGCGATTTTTGTCCATTTACACAAATTATGGTCAGCAACTTGCAAAACATGTGCGCTCAAGATACTCGTACCTGCCACCATTAACTCGGTAGCTCCGGCACTGGCACTGCGTTATTGGCAGCTGTTGTGAGGCATCCGCCAGCTCATCGTCTTGACAGTGAGCATTGCGGAGGCAGTGTATACCTTTACAATTTCATAAAAGTTACACAGGCCAAAATCAAAGCTTACTGATTTGATCTTTAGCAATCGTAAGCGACTGTCTGTCGCATCTTTGCCTCGCTATCTTCAGCTATGAATTTTCGATTTTGAGGAGTTATCAATAGCGCAGTGTCAGTGCGCCGTCAACGGTCATGAAAGGGCTTGATCGCGTGTGAGCGCGCAAATTTTGCGGCGACCAGAACGTGGTCATGAGTAGCACGACCTTCAGTCGGATGCGTCGTGTCCTCGGTTTCTTTACATTACAACACATTTCGGAGGTCTACTACAGGTCCTACTAACAACTATTATTGTGTAGGAAGTGTTCGTTTGTTAAAGATGTCTTCGCCGGATTTTTTCTTCCAGCAACCTTCCTCAACCCCTGTCACTTTCGTTGAGCTAAAACAAAAAACATTAGCTTAATTTCCCCATCGACAGCTGCAAGTGTTCATGTCAAGATCGAATGGCACATAATAGTAAATAGCAGAAAACTGCGAAGACTTTGCTTTCAAAATAATCATCTGTATCTGGTTGTAAATAATTACAAATCGCTCCAGTAGAATTTAATATGCTAAGGCGACTTTCAAGACGATTGTCCTTATCGCAAATAATATTAGGTTGATGCAAAAATAATGAGCGTTTTTCAAATAATTACTTCAACTTGCTATAGCTTTCTAAGAAATCTCCATTTAGAAATTCGGTCAAGACCATCAAATGTAGCGAACCTTTCGCATTACAGCGCACATTAAACTGTACTCATTCTCACATGGGTAGAAAAAGGGGGGCACGCGGAAGGCGACTATGCGCGCAAATTACAAGCAGTGTAAAATCACTCTCACTGACTGCTACAGAATTTTACTCGTGGCATCGAGTCATGTATCCTCCCTTGGCGCCGTGTCACTTTAGCACCGAAGAGTTTTGGGAGGCACAAAATTTGGGGTTTGCCGCCTTCCGCACCACACCCGCAGAAAAATATAGATCAAAGAACAAAAAAAGTTTTTTCTGAAGTCTGTCTTTTGACAAAGCATAACTCACTTCACATTTGTTACTATGTTAGAAGTAGCCTTTTTTGTAGTCGCAAGCCAGTAATACAAATAATGTTTTGGAGAAAAAAAATCGCGGAAAGAATCGAAATTCAAAAACATCAGCTTTTTCAGCATGTTGTCAATAGTTCAAAATTCCGATATAAAATTCTTCGATTTCTGCATGCTGAACAGCTAAGTGTTATGCTAAAACTGTCACAGGATACCCTACCCTTACGCTTACAGAAATGAGCAAAGCACATTAGCGTTGCATTTTGCAAAAGAAAGTATTGGCTCCAGAATGACCACAACCATCACCCATGTTAAAGCGCCGATATCTCAGTTTAGATGAAGTCAAAAATATGTTTAAGTGTGCATAATGATGATATTTTCCGTTACATACAGGGTGTCCTTAAAGTATGTATACACTGTCTGATCGTTGATATTTTTCTTCCCAACAAGTTTTTTGCCTTGCTTCAGGTACCGCTTTGTAGAGCTGGCTTCAGCTTAGGTCTACAGTATGGAGCGAATCACCGATCGCTCTTCATTACTGTAGGACTACGGTAAAAACTTGAAACATATGATGTCAACGTGAAAAAAGCTGCCGCTTCAAAATTTTTCAAAGAGATGTGAAAACTTGTGTAATAGGGTTTTTATGGAACGCTGAGTTCGATACTCAACTATTCACAAAATTGCGAAGCTTTCTAAACGGTGTAACCGCACTTTTTAGGAACATTGAAATGGCCGCTACCTCTTACCCGGCATAGCTCTTCAAGAAAGCATCATAATAACAAGGGAACCGTGTCGAGTCGAAGTGGCCTTTCCAAATGAGGCCCATACTGCTTTGAAGAGCATTAATCGTTGATTCCAAATCTGCTTTCCAAATCTGCCAAGCGCCTCTGGACGCCGAGTTATGCTCGTTTTTCAGATCAAAAAATTGAACACAAAACTGAAGCAAAATCGCCGAAATTTGCTCAAATGGTCCAGTGTCAAGTATCAGAGCTGTTTATGCAATGGATACATTCTGTTTAATATGCTAATACTTAACATTGCTTTATCTGAGCGCTGGAAAGATTGTAACAATCAATTTTACCTAAATTCTGCATTCATTTTTCGCTCCGAGGAACGGTCATAACTCGGCGTCCAGAGGCGCTTGGCAGATTTGGAAGGCAGATTTGGAATCATCGCTTAATACTCTTCAAAGCAGTATGGGTCTCGTCTGGAAAGGCCACTTCGACTCGACACGGTTCCCTTGTAAGTTGGGAACTTTACAGTTAGAATCAACAACTCTAACTAGCCTAGTATAAAAGCTTTTAGGATGTTTTGTTTCCTTTCTGAGGCAAAATATGGCCTTTCATGGCTCAAAACCCTCTTTGAAGTTTCTACCATAATCCTGCAGCAATAAAGAGAGATGGGTGATTCGTACTATACTGCAAATCTAAGGAAGACAGCTCTACAAAATGGTACCTGAATCAAGGCAAAAGACTTGTTGGGAGGAAAGATATCAACGATCAAACAGTGTATACATACTTTACGGGCACCCTGTATAGCAGCTGAATTTTCGAAAAAGCACCTTCATTGTGCTTCAACTCCGTCCAAGTGAGTGCAAAAATCTGGTTTTGATAGCGGTCTTTTAGAGCTCTATACATTCTTAACATACTAGGCTAAAAGTCCGTCTCAAACATAATTAGATAAAGCGTAAAAAGAACTTTTCGATAATATGTTGAATCTGCTGCAAAGAAAATCTGATAAAGAAATTGTCCTGAAAAAAGTCTTAGAGAAACTCATTAATTTTGCATCACCCTAATATAACGCAGGGGAAATCCTGCTTCATAATTAGAAGGATTGGATGTATTTGGCGCCTCTTACTTGCAAACAAGATACAAGATATATATGATGCGTTAGCTATGAAGGACTTGCGCGCAAGGAAATTTCGAAGCTATGGTTTTCAGCCTTCTCAGCGCTATCATTATGTAGATGACCTGCTTCTTGATAGTTTTTGTAAATATACATAAGTTACAGCCGGTGTTAAACTATGCGACTGTCGCAGTCGAGATCGTAATAGTGCTACGTTGGATAAAATCACGTGAGCAGCAACACAAAGCTGTGTTAATCTTCACAAAAAAAAAACAGAATTTTACAATCAAATTTTTCAAGCGTTTGATTCAAGTTTGAAAAAGACATAAACACACAAAATCTCTCAAGAACCAGGGCCTGTAGTAAACCCCCCGGACGTCGTGACGTATAGCTCGGAGTATGCTATGACATGTGCTGACTATCATGGAGCGAGGCTGGCAAAGCGGCTATCCTTTATCATTGCCGGCGGATGCAATCGATGCGTAGCGTCAGGGTAGTCGCACTTTGTCGCGATATGTCGCGACATATCGCGACATATAGCGACATATTGCGACATGTCGTGACGAACAAGACGGCGAAATACTTTGTCCGTCATAGAGACGCAGAGACATAGCGCAAGACTAGAGCTCGACTACGCCAACCTCGCAATAGGTCGCACATGCACACAGTTCTCTATAATGCACGTCAACCGCAATCAATATCAACAGCTGATAAGCGCCTAACTGTTCGAGCAATGCCCCTCTCCCTATTCTCCAAGTACTTCTGCTGCTGCCGCTTTGGGATTTGAAAAAAGGTGAGTTTATTTTAACTAAAAAGTATGTTAGACTCATACTTAGCCATATTTTTCGTACTTATGCAGTTTTTCTTCTTTATTTTTGCTATGCACCTTGTTTGAGCAAAAAGTCCCTTCTTTGTGCCAAACTTTCGCAAATTCTTGAT